CTGTTACTCAGCTAGATGTTTTTAATGCTAAGTAGTTCATGAAAATAAAATGTTGAAGGTGTATTAACATGTATTGGCACTGAGGCACTCCAGCTCTGACTGAAAATACAAGGCATGAATTTATGAAGCTCTTTACCTGCTCCACACAGTTCCACTCTCTCTTGCCTTCAGGTGGTGTCTCTATTGTTACATTTGTTTGACTTGATGATCTTAAGGGCCTTTTTCAATCTAAATTCTTCTGTGATATATTGGTGCAGGTGTATCATTTAACTCTTTTACGGCTGAAAGAGAAATGTAGGAGATGGTTTAGATAGGAAAAAAAACCAGACAAGGTACTTTTCCCTACCCCACAAATATTTTCTTAGCATTTAGCATTATTCTTTATAATTTGTGAAGTTTCTCTGCCCTGAAGTGGCTGGTTAGGTACATGGTGTGCACTGCATTTCTAGCTCAGCCACTGTTACTTCTGGCTGAGCCATCTCACCTTGCTGGGCTTCCTCCCTCCAGGCTTCTGGGAGAGCATGAAGCACCATGAGAGATAAAGTGTTTTGTTGTCTAACAGTCTGTTCACATTTCATTTCTTCCCTATGCAGTAAGTGGGAACATGTTTACTTTGGAAATGGATGTAGAAAACAAAAGGTGATGGTTTTTACACACTTTCTATATACCTCTCTTTAAAAAGGAGTTTCTGAGGTGGTTTATTCTGACAGAAATCAGATATCTATCAGGAATGGAGCAATGATAATTTTTAATAAATATCAAAATGATTTTCACACAACCTCTCCAGCTGACAATTTTTTCAGTCTCAATATCAAAAGTATTAAAATAATAATGCACAGAGTGTCTTTTTTTTCTTCCCTAAAAGATGTAGGTTCAAGGATATTTGTTCACTTGCTAACACCAAAAACAAAAATTTAAAAATTGCTGCTCTTTAAGTAACAATTATCTTCTGTAAAGGGAAGTGAGCTCTTTTGCAGATACCACGAGGATATGAGACTGTATCCTGGCACAGCACAGCTCCAGGGAAGGAGCCTGTGTGCTCTTGTCCTGTCACTCTGACATGTTTGTCAGTGCAGTGTGTCACGTTATGGCTAAGGGAACTGCCTGGGCTCTTCAGAAGAGCATTTGGTCATTACCAAAGTTTGCACTGGGACTTGCTCGGTATCTCTTTGGATAAAGCAGTCAGCCATCATTTAGGAGACAGAGCTTAAGGGACAAAGATTGCATTTAAATGATGGCTGTTGGCAGCTCTGAAGGAGCTGTTACTGACATACTCTGAACAAACAGAATTTTAAAGACTCACTTTAATAATTTTCAAAAAACCTCTTGGTGTTTTCCTGCTCTCTCATGATGGCTAGGGACTGGGTTCCTGCAAGATCCCTATGCCCAGACATTACCAGATCCTTCCTTTTCTTTTGGTTAGGACCATGCTGAAAAATACCAGTCTCCTGGCATGAACAGAGCACAGATTTGCCTGTGGCATCAGAATTAGGCAAGCACTGCAGAGCCTGAGCTCACCAGATGAAATGAGGTATGGGGGGCCAGACCTCCTTCCCAGCTCCCCATTTCATGGGCAGGGTTTGTGAGCAATGGCTCTGGATTTGGCTTGCCAGGTTAAATTTGGCTGCATTTCCACTGTGGACAACCAGTCTCCATGCAACAGCAGAGAGACGGAGATGATGGAGAGAGCTGCTGGCCCTTTGTGTCACTCTTGGGCAAGACAGGCTTCTGAGAACCTGTCTTCAACATTGCTGTTGGGTGAAGGGGAGAGCCTGTGTAGGGAAGACAGTGCCTCCCAGAAGAGCAGCCACATGTCACAATGCAGATGACTGATGCATTTCTGGGGGAAAAAAAAAAAGCAAAAAGGGTGCTAAGCATGTTGGAGGTGGGCTGTGATGTCAAACTGCCTGTGGCAATCCCAGTGGGGACAATTATCAGCATTGGGTTTACACTCTGTGCTGATTTCCTAGAAAGACTTTTATTGCTTTATTTAAAGCTTACTTGCATTTTGCTGCAGTGTTATTGATTAGCTTATGCAACATGATGGATGTCAGACTGCTGCCACCAAAAAGAGCTCAGTCAGTGTCACAGTGGTGGCTGGCTGTTGTGGAGACACTGAGGGATTTGGTGAAAACCTTTCCAAAGTCTGCTGTGGAGCTGGAGAGTGGGCACTGCCCAGTGATCCAAGGCAGGAATGGCCTGAGGCTGCAGGCAATGCTTTAAACACATAGAAGTGTTTAAAAGCTGATGGAGCCCTACAAGGGAGATTACAGACCACAGAAATTATTTTAAACTCCCTTTGACATACTCAATAGTCTATAGACTATATTGCTTAAGACTAAAGGCAGGTAAAACCAGACACAAAATCCCTTTTTCTGTCTCCAGGATCCCAGGATGCCTGTGAAGGCAAATATTGTTGTGGGGAGATGTTGGGAGTGCATTACTTAAGACTAAAGGCAGGTAAAACCAGAATCCCTTTTTGTGTCTCCAGGATCCCAGGATGCCTGTGAGGGCAAATATTGTTGTGGGGAGATGTTGGGAGTGAGTCTGTGGCAGGAATGGACAGCTGGACTGGATGCCTGCAGATGTGTGCAATTCATGCACCCCCGTCTCTGCCCTGGCACAGCCCCACAGCCCCAGTGTGGCATGGCCTGGCTGAGCCATCCCTGCCAGCACTGAGATCTGAGGAGAGTTTTTTAATGTATTGTTGGTAGAGTCAGTTGAAATATTTCAGGCTATGCCCTTTGGTGTGTTTGCTTTATTTCTAGCTTGGAATTTATGTCTATACAAACATATAAATCAATGCTAAATTGAAACTTGTCCAAAACCCAGATTAGCATAAACCTGACATTATTTTGCCACCAGAAATTAAAATGAGTTGTTTAAAATTCCAGATTGAAACCACTCAACAGACTGACATGTAAAAGAAGACTATTTTGGTGACAGAGGCTCAGCTTTTCCTTCTAGAGTAAATTGTGGTAATGCCACTGACATGCTTGAGGGAAAGGATGCCAAAAGGATTTTGACAGGTGAGGAGTGAACTTGTGTGAATTCCATGATGTTCAGCAAGGCCAAGTGTAAGGTCCCACACCTGGGTCAGGGCAATCCCAAGGACAAATACAGGTTAGGCAGGGAATGCATTGAGAGCAGCCCCGAGGAAAAGGACTTGGGGCTCTTTGTGCAACTCAACATGACCCAGCTCACGTCCCAGAAAGACAGCAACATCCTGGGCTGCACCAAAAGCAGTGCAGGTTGCAGGGAGAGGGAGGTGATCCTGTCCTACTCTGCTCTGATGAGACCCCACCTGGATCCAGCTGCATCCAGCTCCAGGCTCCCCAGCAGAGGAAGAACATGGAACTGTTGGAGCAGCTGCAGAGGATGGGCATGAAGATGATCAGATATTAAATTGAAAGAGGGTAGTCTTAGGTTGGTTTTAAGGAAGGAATTCATTACAATGAGGGTGGTGAGACTCTGCAACTTGTTGCCCAGAGAAATTGTGGATACCCCATTCCTGGAAGTGCTTAGTGTCAGTTTGGTTGGAGCTCTGAGCAAACTGGTCTAGTGAGAGGGCAGGGGGTTGGACTAGATGATCTCTGAACCCTTCCAACCCTCCAACCCAATCCATTCCATGTTTTTTTTCTAGAAAATTCAGTCCTATCTGTTTACTGGATGCTGTTATTTAGTATGTGTGCTGTCTTTCAAACACTTAAAGCCCGTGTATATTTGTGGGCTTTGCAGTGGTTTCTTCTGCAGGGAGGTTTTTGAGACATGCAGGCTGCAGGGAGTGAATGGTGAGGCTTTTTCTTTCCTCTCTATGTCTCAAAATTCAGCACACACAGACTGTGAGCTCTTGTGAGCACCAGGGTCCTCCAGGCAAGGGTGAGAGCATTTTAAAGTTTTTCTTTCTTTCTACCCTTCACCAAGCATTATTCAACATGATTTCCACAGTCCTTTTGCTGTGCTGCTAGCCCAGCAGTCAGCTTCTCCTCCTCACTGCGCTCTGTGGGAGTTCATACAGAAGTTTATCAGCCTGAAAATTAGCCCTGGGAAGACAAAGAGCTGCCAGAGTGCCAGTACAACCACTGTGTCTCACATCAGTGTGGTCCCTCCCACGAGCCACCTCAGCTTTCCCACCATGTAGCCCCCACCTTGCTAGATCTGGCTTCTACCCAGCTGAAAGTGGGATCTGTTTTAAGCATGGGCAGGCTTGGGTGCTGCTTCTAACCCAGAAGGAGTGAGGTCCAGCACCCACCTGCTCCTAATGGGGGTAGTTGTGACGATGCCTCAGGTAACCTTGAAAATGGATGTGTACGAGTTCATTTCCAAAATGGAAAACAACAAGCAGTGAATCCCTTTGTATTACTTAGTTTTAAATTTAGTTTGTATACACTGACTGTTTTTATTGGTGATTCATCTGCAATGAAAGTTTGCATCATAGCATCAGAGAAGTATAGCTCATAGCAGGGGCAAAGAAGATAGAACTCCAGATGCCTTGGCATCTGCTGAGATGGATGTAGCATTTCAGGCTATCCTGGATGTATTGCAATCAGATATTTTAATTAAAAAGATAATTACAGTCACATTTTTTTTCTTTTTATATTGCATGGATTCACACCCACAGGTGCTTTTATTGTGAATCCGAGGGATAGAACTTATTAAGAGCTTGGCTTTCAAATAATAAATCTACAACATTGGATTAATTCCACAGCAAATTATTGGAGCTGGGGGATACATCCTGCTCTCTCCATTCAGTAAATATGCTTCCTAATTTCCATCAGGTTTAGAAGGCATTGCACCTTGTGTGACCTGGAGCAATCCCAGGAACTCCTATCTCCAGTAGCAAATCCCTCAAACCTTCACCAAACACACATGAGGAGGTTCACAGCCTCCCTGCAAAAAGAAAATAATTTGATATTTCTTTCCAGTCTCAGACCACTGTTGCTATTTCTCATTCCAGACCCACATGGGAAATAACTCCACCACTATCACCAAAGGAAGTATGTTGCAAAAGCCCCAGAGTAGTTTTTATTTAAAATGTTACTATCATAAAATTTCAAACTATGAAATGAAGACCTTGGATTCCCATTCAAACATTACCCATTCCCCTTTTTAAAATATATTGATGCATAATCACAGGAACATAAAACATGCTGCAATGATACAAATATATTTTTTCATACAGAAATTACAGTGCATAATAAACCATGAAAACAAATTGAGGCACTAGACTGAACATCAGTTCTCTTCTGCACTAGCTGTGAAGCTGATAGACTCACTTTCAATGAACAAAAGAATACTTGCTTGTTTAGTAAACATGACTCTACAGGTCATTTCAAACATGTGCTTTGTTGTGAGACATCACCAGGGTTGCTGGTCCTTTCAGAACCACAGCACACCTACACAACACGTGTCACTGCCACAATATGAAAAATAATGCTTTTATTGAATGTACAACTCAAAAAAACCAAACCCCTTCAGTTATTAAATAAATAATTATTTCATACAGTGGTTAGTTTATATTACACTGCATTGGCCATTAGAACAAATGAAGTTTAATAAATATCACACAGGAACGTCTCATTTACGCCTCCGTTCGTAATTCTGTGCTATGCTCCCTTCAGAGGACCCTGCGAAAAACAAAGCAGATTGAAGCACAAGGTACATCCTTGCATGAACACCAGCAAGCACAAGAAGTGTCAGAGACCTGCAGCCAGCTGGCACCACCAGGCACCAGTGGCATGTTTGGAACAGGGACCAGGGCTCCTGGCCCATCCCTGAGCTGCTTTGGTTTCGCTTTACCCCTCAGACTACACTGTCCTCCAGAAGGCTGAAGGTCTGAGCAGTGTTTTCCACCTCTTGTCTGAGCAGTGTTTTCCACCTCTTGTCTCCTGAGCTGCTTGAAGCACCATTACCTCAGAGCCCCTCTACCTCCCAGTAATTCATCTAACTGCTGGGATCTAAGCCTTCAGGCCAATTTGTGGTAGAAGGTTTCTGCACAGACATATCCACCTTCATTCCTGTGCAGTCAGCTCTTTGCCAGCTCTTTGAAACTCTCCCTGTCCACAAGCCCTGCACACAGGAATAATTTTACTGTACACTGTGGCAGGAGCCAAGCTCCTCGGACATACTCAGACTACCATGCTGACAAGCTGCAGGCTAAAATAGTTTTTATGTTTAGTAGTGGTAGATCTCTCCTTCTTGCTCATTTAAAATGAAAGTAAAATCTAGAGAGCCCTTCTTGAGCAAGGCTGTCCCCAAACCAGGGACGGAGACACCAGCATCCCCTTACCCTGCTTTGGAACCTGAGGCTGTAAATCAGCAATGTGCTCACACCCAGAGGGACAGCAGGAATTCCTGCCCATTACCAGGGAACTCAGGGCTTTCTGCAGAAGAGAACCACAGCACAGGGTAAAGGTCCTGCCCAGTTAAATATCTTCCAAAAGGGAGAAGTGAGGGTAGTCCTAACACTTACTATTCCTGATCTTGCTTTGATTACACAGTCCTTAGGACCCACCTTCTCCTCTGGTGGAGCAGAAAAAACTTCTTATCATTTCCCCCTCAAGCCTCCCTGCAGAGGCAGAAAAGCTGTGAATTCTAGTTTTACCTGCCAGACAGGTGTTACATAGCCCAACAGAGTAAAACATCATTATTCTCTTTTGTCAGAAATACCACACAACAGTACCCTAACTATACCAGCAATTTAGAAATTAGGGTAATAACATATTTGCATTTTTTAAAACATTTTCCATATTTCACATTCTCATATTAATGTAAATGTAATCCCAGTGGAAACTAAACCAAATTTATTACTTACAGGCTATTTATTTTTGTGATAGCAGATATATTTACAGGTATTATGCATTTAATAGCTATTGCCACTGCAGAAAATTGTACAAAATTATTCATGATACATAGCAATTTGCAAAATAATGCAGAGAGCAATATTACTAGTCTTGAAGGGAGTTTAATTGAAAATAAAAGTTACTGACAACCGTAATTGCAGAATATAGATCACAGCATGTATCCACATAATGTAAAGGTGTCAGCTAGTAATTTAACTTTTATCATCCATTTAACAAAACAGTGAGAACTATTTCAGAGACATGAAATACATATTAGGGTTTTTATTTTTTTAATTCTTATCCTGGAGAATCAACTGATACTTTATGGTTCACAGTGAGGGATTTCCTCAGAGCAGCCCTAGAGCACAGGGAAGGAAGGTAGAGCTATGGAGAGTCTCCAGTTTCCCACAGGGGTTCTGCACATGAGGGGAGAGGAGAATTCTGCCCTGTATGGACACTGTGGGAAAATGTATTCACAGTACCCATTCAGAGTTTAAAATGCTTTAGGTGAAGTCAAAATCTGAAAGAGACTGTGAATGTTAAACAGCCTGATCTGCAGAATGAGGTGGTGTTAATGGCAAAGTTCTGTTCTTTCACCTTCTACTCCAAGTATTAGGAATAAAGGTCTCCAGAGAAGATATCCTTTTACCCGATGAGATCTGAATTTAGACCACAAGTTAAGTGACCCCTGCATTTTCAGCCTCCAAAGTTTTCTGGATACTTCATTAAAATTTAGGTGTTTTGTTTTAATAGCACTTTGGTGACCAGCAGAACATGCAAGGACAGGACAGTCATGAAAGTGCTCTGGGGAATTCTACCCAAGTGGCCTGCAGCTCAGACTAGCCTGGTCATTTCAAGCACTGAAGTGAACTCTGAAATATCTTGGGTAACAAAGAAAATCCTGATTCTTTTTCAGGCAGCTCTGGATCTACACTACATGGAAACTGCTTCTTCCATCCGCTGGGAGAGAACAAAGAGGCAACGGAATGAAGAGGCTGTATGTCACCAAGTATCAGATTTAGTCAAATACATACCAGAATTTAAAGATCTTTTGCCCATAAGTCCAACAAAGGAGTCTGTTTTATGCCCTGAAAAAATATATTTAGGGGTGTTTTAATACATTTAACTAGGCAGGCTTTTAAAATAACAGGTTCTTGCAAGGAAGACAGGGTCCGAAACTGTTTGTATCACAGACCAGTTGTTTACATCACTCTCAGACAACAGAGAACAAACAGCAGTCTGACGAATCAGACTAAACAGGATAGACCAAGGCACAGGCCAGTTAGTGCACATCTTCTCATTAGCTTAGATAGACCTTTGGTTTTGGGGTTTTTTTAAAGTATAATGGAAAACCAACGGCACTGACAGTACAAATCTTATTTCTCTCCCAGTACAATTCCTACTGTGATGAGCAAATTCACAAGAAGGCAGTGTCTTGGTATAGCCTGCATCTGTGTGGTGCATCTCTTCTACCTGTTGTTTTATTTCTGTAACGTGGAAGGAAATCCTCCCTCACAGGTCAGGTGGAGCCCTTACTGGAGAGGAAGGCAATGGCACTCTCTGTCTGGACACGTCTGAGCTAGACAGTCCGGCTCTATTTTTGGAATATGTATAAGTTCAGGTATTACCTACCTGTCCCCTTAGTAATTCTCAAGACACTGGAAGCATAGAGGATAAATTACTCCAGGTTTAGGCCCACAGTACTTATCAGGTTATACTAGTAGCTGTAGTTTCAGACAAGGAAGGAAAATTAACTGTTCTTCTTTATCTAAACTGGCTTTTGAGTCAAACGTAAAAGTTTCTCTTTGGAAAGAATTTTGCTTGGTGAATTCATACACAAAGCAAGCTACTCAGACCTCATGTATTAATTCAAGCTGAAGCAGTTTCAGAAAACTATATTTTTTTTTACTTTAGTCAGATGGTAATTTGGTATGAGCTTTGTATCAAACTCCTTATTTGGTCTTCCAAAACATAACCTCAGAGAAAGCATCTTGTGGTTAACAGAATACTGGAACAGTTGCTGGCCTGTCACAGAATATAATATCTGTGAATCTTCCAGTTTCTCTTTAAACATCATGAGATAATTTGAGAAAATAGAACTACCACTGTGCAGAGCAAGGTAACACCCCAGTGCTGATAGCATCTCCTGCTTGGTGTTACACAGAAGCAGAGCAAGGCACACTTACTAGTGGGGCAAGACACGGCTCTTCATATGGCAGCACATCATCAAGCAGCCCCTCCCGTGAGCAGGAGTCTGATTGTCAGCCAGTGCTGAGAGCACAAATACAGTATCTCACGTGTGAGGACATGGGGGCTCCCATGAAAGCATTCTTGGGGACTTGGGAATTCATTATTCTAATTTTCCAGATTTTGCCATCTTAATTGCTTCTCTCAGAGTCTGGCAGTAAGCCTGCCTTGCCAATGAGAAAGGCTTACAAAATCCCCCCTTGGGAAATAAGAGAGAGCTGCAACATCCGCACATTAATATGGATTGAAATCTCAAAGCTTGCAGCAGCTCAGATGAGATACAGGCTCACAGTGGCACTGAAGGGGAGGTTTCAATTCTTTAATAGATCATTTCTCCACCAGTGGTGCTGCCAGTCCCTAGCTGAAACCAGTTGCCTTCTAAATAATCCTGTCAAATACACTATTCTCTATTTGATTATCTTCTAATGATTACTTAAAATATTTGTATTTTTAAAACTTACTTTTGTGAGAGATCTGGCCATATCCTGATTGGAAGAGGAAAGGAAAGAGAAAAAAGACAAAAAAGTTGTTAAAAAAGGATTGCATACACGCATACACATATGATGCTACTGCAATGCTCTGAAACATCAAATACAAAAACTAACCTACACATATTTCACTTAAGGAAATTAGGGTGATGGTTTACAACTGCATTTCTCTTTGAAGAGACCAAAAACTTGTTTCAACTTAACTCACACAATTTAGATTAGTTTAGCTCCAATTTCTTAGATCAGTTTTTGGTTGAGAAAATGTGTAGAAAGCATGACAATAACTGTGTACTCGACCAGTTTCCACACTTTGGTGATTCAGTGGCATGTATGCTGACCTATGAATTACCATGCTATCCCTCACTGAGATTGACGTGTTCTAACAGGTACACGCTTAAGACTTTAAAGCCCTCTCTTTTCCAATCAGTGAGTTTATCTCATATAAAACTTGAAAGAAACAACAAAGCAAAAAAGCCTAAACCCAAAGCACCCGCATGGCACCCCAAGAAACAGATGTAACACATGAATCCCGAGCGATAAGCGTGTAAGGTTTGGTCAGGCCCTGGGAGAAGAGGTGAGCAGCCCCCCGCCCCGCTCACCGGCATCCCGCTTGCCCATGAGGCCGAAGAACTGCTGGGGCCGGGGTCTCCGGGCCATCCTCTGCAGGAAGTGCTCCAGGGGCAGCGGCAGCTCCTCCTGCGGGGCGACAGCGGGCACAGCTCAGAGCGGGCCCCGGCCGGGGCAGGGCCCCTGGCTCCGCACCCCGCGGGGCTCACCTTCGCCTGGTCACCGTCGGACCAGTCGGACCAGTAGCTGAGGTCGTCGCTGGCTCCCATCTCCTCGCCCAGCGCCTGCGACGAGGCCAGGAGGAGCACGGCGAAAGCCAGCGGGAGCCTCATCGCCGCCTCGACGTCCTGCGGGGGCACAGGTTGGAGCCGCGGCAGCCGCGGGTGGGAGCGCTCAGCTCTGCACACACTGACACAGCCTGCGGACACACAGCCTGCGGACACACAGCCTGCGGACACACGTACAGCCCCACCGCGCCCAGGTACACCGGCACCCCGCCCCGACTGCTGCACACCCCTCCGGGGAGACACACACCCCACAGCCAACGCAGCGGCACGCAGCACACAGACAGACACACAGACACACACAGCCAGCGGTGCCCCCTCACACGCACGTACCGGAGAAGACTTCAACACACCCTCACACGTCCATGCACATCTAGGATTCACACATTCCCCAATACACACAGGCAGACAGACACATCCCCCTCAGACACACATCCAGGTACACATGCATCCACTCACGAACTCATACAAAGAGCTACACACCTTAAATGCTCCCACCCGCGTAGGCACGTAGCTGTCCACACACACAAACACAGAGACACATGTGTCCAGAGGTGCACACTCATCCCTTTGCACACCCAGACACGTAAGGACAGGCACAAAAACATGCTGGCACGTCTAGGCAAACACGTGCGGGCACACAAGCACGAATAGGCACCCCCCAGCGAGGCACATACGCACAGACCGGGACAAAGGAGCACGCACACCCCCTCGGAGCCGCAGGACAAGCGGACCGCTCGCACACAGGCGCGGCCGGGCTCCCGCAGCGCACGCACCGTCCGCAGCCGCAGGGCGAGCGCTGCTCTCCGAGCGCATGGGCCGGCCGCGGCAGCGCTCCCCGCTTTATATGCCTGCAGACGGGGAGGGCCGAGACTGCCTCATTTGCCTAAATGCAATTACCCCCCGTTTTATCGTCCCAGCCCCGTGACAGCCCCCGCCCCGGCGAGCAGCCCCCGCCCCCCGCTCCGGCGGCGCCGGTGGCTCTGCCCGGGCGGGCGGTGCGGGCTCCCCGCGCTGCCCCCGCCGCAGCCCCGCGCCCCGGGGCCAAGGCGCGGCCCGGCCCCGGACCCGGGGTGAGGGCGTGGATGGGTGTGAGGAATGCGGGTGCGGATGTAGGGGTGCAGGCACCGCTTTTCGCCCCTGCCACCCCGCCCCGCTCCCCCAGGGCGCGGAGGGCTGCTCTCCGCTGCGGGCAGGGGCCAGCGGAAAGGGAGCCCCGGCGGCCAGGCAGGGGAGCAGCCTCCCGTGTCCGGACCACTTCTTCCCCCGGGTCTGTCTCCCCGTGCCGCTGCTGGGGCAGCCCCAACCGGCACCAAAAGCGAGGGATGCGCGAAGCGGAGGAGGACCCGGCGGGTCTGGGGTGTGTGCGGCTCAGGGGCACCGCTGGGCTGGCTGCTGTAAGAGGCGAACGCCTGCACCGAGAGAGTACCGAGCCAGTCCCTGCAGCAGCACATCCCTGGCGTCCTTCCCCTGTGACAGATTTGTCTATAAGATTGCACTTGAATAAGAAAGTTTGTGTCCCAGTGAGCTAAGGGTCACTCTTGTCGGCATGGGCTGCTTGAGAGTGTGCTCGAGAAAGAGGGATTTGGAGAAGGGACTTCATGCAGCCCAAGCACCTGCACTGGGCACCTCTGTTGAGAGCTCGAGCGTGGGTGGAGAGAATGCTCCTCATTCTGACTATCAACAAGCAGGCAGAAACCACAAAGAAACCATCAGATTTTCATGCTGCACCTTTGCAGCATTCCCTTTTGGCAGAAACCACAATGTTTATCAACTCTGAAACCCAAACCATCAGATTTTCATGCTGCACCTTTGCAGCATTCCCTTTGATGTGTGAACTTTGTAGTCTCTTGAAGAAAGTTGTTCTCTTGTCGTTTTGTTTATTATCTTGTTTCTGTTTACTATAGTGACAACAGAGCACTGGTCAGATACATCAAACCAGGCTTGCCAATCCTGCAAATGTTCCTGAAGCTCATGTCGCTCAGAAATCCTGAGAACTCCCACCTTTCTATGAAGTCATTTTCTATCACATGGAAAGTACAAATTTGAACTGAAATATCCTATCTGTTCTAATTCTCTAATTCAACATTTTACCAAAATGGATGTAACCATAACTTGACCTATGAAATTACAGGGATTTTATATTTTGAGAGAGCAAGAGAAGAAAAATTAAAAAGGGGTCCTTTCCAGTCTTCAGACTTTAATGAATTCAAGTACTTTATCTAAGTACTTATCTAATAGTTTGGGTGGAAGCGAAAAACTGATTGATAGATCAAGCTCACTTTCTCAATTTTAAAATAAATTGGCTGTTTAATCTTTCTTTGACCTGCAATAGCCAGACATTGCACTATGAACTTTTCAGCAAGTGAGCAGATTTCATGGCTAATGAGCAAAGCTGATTCCTAGGAAGATTTTCTGAGCTAATTTTTTTCATGTGAAAAGGATGTAGAAGGCTCAAATAAGGAAGCAAGCTGAAGCTTCTGCCTTGGTGCTGCCCAGTCCTTATCATAGTGATGTACTAGAGCATGCTAAAGTGCCCTTTTTGCACAAACAAAACCCTGTTTCATATATTTATTCACAAGGTTCTCATAGATATAAAGCTGCCTCTTCCTCACACATGATATTTGCAACTTTATATCCGAGTAACCTTGTGAATAAATATGTGAGCTCAAAGGCAGGTAAGGTGTCTTTGGTGAGCATTCCTTCTCTACCCATTCTCAGGGCACAGACCCCACTCTCTATTAGAGTTAGACCTTGTGATTTCTAACAACCAGTGTAAAGATTTTTGGTTATGAATCAAGAGATCATTAGATCCAAATGACCCAAATAAGGGTTAATATTTCTTGTGGAACTGACACAGAAAGCTGCCTTCAGAGTCCTTATCCAGAAATTTCCTTAGTAAGTGTTAGGAACTGGACTAAAGGCACTTGTTGTGGCTTGAATCTCAACACTAATGGAAAACTATTTGGGAAGCAATTGCCTGTGAAACACACCTCAGAGAATTGGTTTTTCAGTAGGCTTAATGTGATACCTCCTGTGAAATGTTTATTTGAATTTTATGATGATGTTTTGGTTTCCAGTAAAAAGTCTGATCATTGAATGATGTTACATTGGCTGCTATACTGTTATCTAGTGATTCTTATACCATTAACAAACAGCTAATGTGTGATGGGAACATAGCAAATTACATATGCCCATGTACGATTTTGTGCAGAGTACAGATTTGAATTTTTTGACTATGCACAATTTCAGAGCATTTGACATGAAATGAATGCATCTGTCTTTGTTCTTCAGTGGCCTTGTGCTATACAATTGCATATTGTATATTTAAACCTAGAGCCTAATTCTTGTGTATATTGAGATGTTTTTTCATCACTTCACCAGAGACACTCAAGTAACAGAGACAGTTTTAGAAGAGTTATTTTATGTTACTTCAAAAATTAGGGATGAATTGCAGTCTACCTGAGCACAGTGATCCTCTCTGTACATACACCAGACCTCAGCTCTTATTTTGATCATTACAAGAAGACTGGAAATTTTCTTATCCAAAGATACAAATTTATAAACATTGGAAGAGAGATCATGATTGATGACCTCCTAAATTTTTCATAGGTATGTGTCTCCAGGGTAAATAGAATGATTTCAATTGCAGATGAGGGCTCTTTGTAACACAGTGATTTATTTTGCCACTGTAAGATTATTTATTTGCAGTGCATCCAAGTGGCATTGGAAAAAATAGCAGAACTCACCATAGCATCCTATTTTCTAATTAAGTGTGAACAGACTATTGAATTAATCTTTTGGCTTGTATTTTAAATCTTCCATTACAAATTTGTCACCTTCAATTTTTCCTTTAATGAAGGCTTACATTTTCAGAGCGTATGCTCGTACATGTAAATGCATATGAGGCATATGCGGTAATTATGCATCTCTCTATCTCTCTCTCTTTTCCCCCCTCTGCATCTATAAAGAATGAGTTCTTATTCTTCTGTCTGTGAAATAAAACATTCTACGTTCAATTATATTGTTCTCACTGGCAGGCAAGGAGGGTAGCAGTGAGATTTCCATGCCACAGGAATGCCCTTTCCTGGGCAAGCCCAGGCAGAAGCAAGGCTGATCTTACAGTTACTGAATCGTCTGCTAAGAGCTAAACATGCAATGTTGGTCTTTAATTCTCACTTTGAATAGTTAATGGGTTTCCTCACTCTTCTTGTTCCTGTCATGTTTTACACTCCCATCACTGCTTTCCATCCCACCCATCCACTATTATCGCATCTTATCCAGAGTGAGTTTCTTTCACCCTGATCTGAGGCTCACTTTTGTCCACACTAAGTTAGACACAAAACTAGGGTGTGGGACCAAATGGAAATAAATGTCAGGGTATTAAAATGCTGAATGTAAACCTACAACATGAATGTTGCAGAGGTTATCCCCTCAACCTAATATCTCTAGAGTCAATCATCTGCAAGGGAAGTAATTGCAGTCCTGTCAAGCTTCTTGGGCTCGAGAGAGAACATGTCCTTGGAGGGGAAAAAGCACTTACTTTCATCTGTTTGGAGATCTCTGGGAAAGAAAGCTGTAAAAAGCCATCTCTACATCTGCAGGATCTCTGGGGGAGTTGGTAAGGAGAAGGGCCTCTAGAGACATTTCTAGATGTGCATCATTTCAAAACAACCGTGAGAAGAACCGGACTTGCTACCTGGAGATGCCTTGCCATAACTCTCCAAATGGTTTTCATAAGAAAAATTGGGAGATACAATATTTGCTAAATATTTGTTCAAAAAGGCTAACAGGGAATGACATTAGAACAGCACATTTCAATAGCAAATACAGGACAGTATTCCTCTCACAGTGTCTGCTGCTTTTAACCATAAAACCAGGGGTTATTTTCACATTTGCCATCACCAACAAAATGGCCAGGGACAACCATGAAATACTGTACAAAATATTCCCAAAGCTGAGGCAGACTGTGAACATCACTGGTCTGAGCTTGACCAGGGAAAATCTGCAATTTGAACTCTCCTCACAGAGCAAAGGGCTCAAAGCAGCCAAGGGACAGAAACTTGAGGCTAATTAAGTTTGTCACTCTTGGAAGAAATGTTGCTGGCATTGCTTTGTTCTGATGCAGAGACCCTGTTTTTTGGGGTTTTTTTTGTTTTGTACTTACTGGTTTACAAATATATTTATAAATCAGTTGATTTGTTTCAAACCAAACCTTCTGAGTCTGAAGCTCACTCTGTAAGGCTTTTTGCTTCAGTTGTCCAAGCTGATTTGTAAACTGCTTCACAGTGACCTGTGAGGGTAAGGGAGGATTTAGACTTACTTCATCAACAGGTGAAAGCAAAACCCTGGCTAATAATCTGGGCTCAGCACATCTTCTGCAAAGCCTTTCTGTAGGAAGGACAATCTTTTCTCTGAGACTGACCTCAGCCTTAGTAAATTTTGCGGATGGATCATCAAAGGCAGGTCCTTGGCCTGTTTTCAACACCTGAGTATCTTCTATCTGATCCTGCCACCAGAACCTGTCCTCGTTGCACTGACCTCTGGCTGGCTCCAGCTGTGCACAGTGGTGGTGGTGGACAATGGCTGGAGCAAGAGCCCAGGACGTGGAAGAGCTGTGGGAATACACAACAGCACATCTTGGTTATCTGGGAAAGCCATGGACATACCACTGTCCCACCCACTCTCTTTTGATCCCTGTGCAACAACAGCCCTCAGTGGCTGGGCACAGGCCTGGGTAGCCTTGCCTTCCACCCTCACTTCCAGACCTTCTCCTGCAGGAATGATGAGGTGTGTTTTACACTGGCTCTTTCTGCCAATTCCCCACAGCATCTCAGTGCTCATTGCAATGGCAAAAAAGGAATAGCTGCTCATGGCTGCTATGAGTTCTGATTAATTGAA